GTGTTTTCTGAAAAATTAAAATTTTAAAACATTTTGGAAATTTCGATCATCTGGGGACAAATAGTTGTTTACATTTTTTGATTTTTTGTATTACACCTTTAATATTTTTGACTTTTCTCCTGTAACCCTGTTCAAGAATTACATTATACAATCATTTTTGAGACAGTTTGACAAACACTGTTAAAATTTGTAAAATTTTTCTTCAGGTATTGCAGAAAATATACAGAAATTTTGCTTGATAAATTAATGGCGCAGTCGGTAGGATAAAAAGCAAACGTGGAAAATATCTAATAAGATTAAATTTTAATAAAATCGTGTATGTCGTTATTATAGGAAATTATTAAAAGAAAGCGTTGGTTTCTCGTCGAAAAATTAGTTTTCTAAAAATTGTAATTTTACCCGTTTTTTTTAAATGTCATCATTTGAGAACTACTATTTGCTTCAAAAGTATTGCAACGATGAGACACCGATCCTCCGATTAATATAAAAAAATAATAACTTAAACACTTTTAGAAACGAAATTTTTATTTTAGCAAATTTTTCTTTTAATTTGTAGCGCATCATTAATATTGTCCATTCTTGTGTTCATGATCTGATCACTTTTGAGGCCTTGATAACTAGTCTTAAAATTATGTTAATTTTTTCTTCAGAAAATATCCTGAAGTCTTGCTTGCCTCTTTAATGGAGCAGTCGGCAGGATAAAAATAAAGCGAAAAAAAGTATCTAACGAAACTAATTTTAATAAAATCGTATATAAAAGAGTTTATATCATTGTTATAGGAAATTGTAGCAACTATACACAAAACGTTAGTTTTTTAAAATTGAATCTTTACACATTTTTTGAAAATTTCATTTTCTGAAAACCACTTCCCAAGATTATTTCAACGAATGGATACCGATTTTTCAATTAAGTTAAGTAATTATTGTGAGAAATTGTAGAAACCATATACAAAAGCGCTAGTTTCTTATCAAAATAGGTGTTTTCTGAAAAATTGAAATTTTAAAACATTTTGGAAATGTCGATCATCTGGGGACAATTAGTTGTTTAAATTTTTTGATTTTTTGTATTACACCTTTAATATTTTTGACTTTTCACTGTTAAAATATGTAAAATTTTTCTTTGGGTATTGCGGAAAATATAGAGAAATTTTGCTTGCTCAATTAATGGCGCAGTCGGTAGGATAAAATCAAACTAGGAAAGTTTTGATTTTTGTTGAGGTTAAGTTTTATTAAAATTGCTTATGTGGTTGTTATAAGAAATTGAAATATATAGAAAGTTTTTATAAAAAACATGTTTCCGAAAAAATTGAGATTTTAGACTTTTTGGAAATTTATAGTATACACCGATCTTCCAATTAAGATGAAAACAATTTAACCTACACAGGTTATTATTCCCGCATCACCAAAAAACTGTTACACCGACAGATATTTCTTGTGCCATTTTAAGTGTTTTTAATGTTCAAACCTTTCTACTTATGCATGACATTTTTATTTTTGAAAATGAGATTTTCTTTCTTGGAAATTTTTTCTTATTATTTATTTTTAGTACATTTTTGATATATTTTTGCAGAAAATATAGTGAAATCTTGCTTGCTCAATTAATAGCGTAGTCGATAGGATAAAATCAAACAAGGAAAGTTTCTAATGAGATTTAAATTTTAATAAAATCATTTCTGTCGTTATTATAGGGAATTAGTGTAGCTATACAAGACACGCGTTACTTTCTTATGAATAAATTGATTTTGTAAAGGACTGAAATATCACACGTTTTTAATAAATTTTGTCAGTTGAAGACCACAATTTTCCTCAAGATTATTGCAACGAGTAGACACCGATCTTCTGTTTGTTATGAAAAGAGGATAACTTAGACGAGTTATTGTCCTCGCATCACCAAAAAATTTTAAGTGTTTTTAATAATGTTCAAACCTTCTCATTTATAAATATGAGATTTTCTTTTCTCTTCTTCTGTTCAGGAATTACGTGACCCAATCATTTTTGTGATATGTTGACAACCACTTTTAAAGTACGTAAAAATTTTCTTCGGGTTTTGCAAAAAATATACCGAAATTTTGCTTGCTCAGTTAATGGCGTAGTCGATAGGATAAAAACCAAACGAGGAAAGTTTGTAATGGGATTAAATTTTAATAAAATTGTTTATGTCGTTATTGTAGGAAATTGGTGAAACTACACGAGTATACAAAAAGCGTTACCAAGATTATTTCAAAGCGTAGACACCGATCCTCTGATTATTATGAAAAAAGACAAATTATTATCCTCGCATTATCAAAAAATTTCAACAGTAACAGATATTCCCGATGATATTTTAAGTGATTTTAATAATGTTCAGACCTCTTTCATTTATAAATATGAGATTTTCATTTTGGAAATTTTTCCTTTTTGTGTTTTAGTGCATTTTCTGTTTCTTTACGTACTTTTGTTGTTAAAATAAGTACAATTTTTCTTCTGGTGTTGCAGAAAATATCTAAAGAGTAGCTTGCCACATTAATGGCGCAGTCAGTAGGATAAAAATCAAACGAAAAATATCTGACGAAATTAAATTAAAAAAAGAGGTCCGAAAACTCGGGGTTCGTGCATATGCAAAATTGTAGATATGTATCAAATATTAGGACTGATTTTCCGTCATTTAAATCAATGGTACCAATTTTAATGCGAAGTATTGGCCACAAAAGTTCGAGTTGTCGCCTCGAGCTCCCACCTTTTGATAAAAGCATCGTTGATATTTATGCGTGAAATAAATTTAACAATAAACGTACCATCTGCTAATGACGGCACTATCGATCTTATTTTATCACTTTCCTCAGGTTAACACAGAGAGAATAGCGGAATATGAATACCGTGGAACGGACCTTTCGTGGCCACAAGGATATAAACCAACTGACCTTCTGTTCTCGAACCCTATCCCATGTGTACTTTACAGGATATCGTATAACATTTGCGCGGTACCTTAAAGGAGAGTTAAAAGAGGGGCGCCCGCAGAAAGGACAAGTGATCAAATAAAAAACGCTCGGACATCTTTCGCCTCAAAGAGAAGTGAAAACCGAACACAAAGGATTTATAAATTTACAGAAAACGCTAAGACGGCGCGGTTCGACGGATGAAGCTGTGGTTGAATGGACTAAGTTTAGTAACTATTTCAAAGGGTGTTTTAAGAGGAGTGCAGCTTTCAGCAAATTACCTCTGAAGTCACAAATCGGCATCGGTTGAGTAACTGGTGCGATTAGCTTCGACTATAATATTAAATCTTTGCAAACAAAAATCCGGGGACGGTATTGATCACAACTCTTTATCATATTAAAATGAAAAACGAGCTTTGGAGGAGCTCGCCAGAAACAGGTGTCCTGGAATCTCTAATTTATTTTACTTGCAGAGTGTGCACACTTGGGTGAAGATGTAGTGACCACTTATTATTAAACTGTCATGTTCTGAATTCATTAACAGTAAGTTTTACAAGGGAATGTTCCACTGGTGCACTAAATGTTGCAACATGTCTTCGAACTTTGGACAATTGTGGAAGTTTCAATTACTCTTGGAATTACACACAAGCATGAATCGATCGACATGTTGTTACACAACTGCAAAAAAACACACTTATAATAAGTCAACCCAGACGAAAATTCTAATCAGATTGCAAACAACAAGTAGTTTTAGTTTGTCTATGAAACGAAGTTTGTTCAAATATTCAAATTTAAACATAGCATACCGTAAAATGAATCAATAGTCGTATATCATACGAGTCTGAGTGGAATTGCATGCTCCCTTTTGTTTAAGATTGTATTTAGACGGGTAAACAATCCACGAATACTTGTGTTTAAATTACAAAAATTAATATTTGCGACATTGTGCGCTAAACCACTGCGTACATGCATTAACTTAAATAAAACACGAGGCGTAAGTCGTTTCATCCAACTCGGCAAAACATTTATTACCGTACCTGTAAATAACTTGAGCCGGTTGTTGCAGTAAACATACCTATTTTGGCTCAAAGTTTAATTGAGTTGACTTTCTTAATTAATCTAATTAAATCAGTCCACCTAATACATCACTGTAGAAGATAATTTTGTTAGCGTTAGCTTGTTACGAAAACTGCCAAATCAGATTATACTTTTTCTTTAAAGTATTGCAGATGAGTTTGAACAGGGTAATTAATTTTATTTGCCAACAAAGTCCACGTTTCTTTGTACACTTAAATCTGATTTAGCCGTCTCAAATATTCCCTGCATGTTATTAACTTTGCAGGTTAAATATTACACACGATCAGATGCCAGCTGACATGGAAAATGGTGGAGGCGCCGGGATAAATTTGAATTAAAATGTTCCTACAAAAATGTGTGACGGGTATTACACGAAATGCAGACGTCGTTCTAGTGTGAAATAATTTACCACAATTTAAAAATAAACCGAAGTTAATTATTTCTGAAGTTTGAAAATTGGTGGAGGCGCCGGGATAACGAAATAAAATCGTCCATCAAACTATAAAGTCGTGATTAATAGTTTTTCAAGTAAATAAAGACGGATTTTACCCACGAGAGGCAGATTAATCCACGAGGGACTAATTTCACCGAATGGACAAAATTTGATTTAAGTAGCTACTTAATTGCACGTACAATAAGAGCCAAATGTATACGAAAAGTCGAAAGTACCGCTGGGGTATCAGCTAGCTCCAGAAGTATTATAATAAAATACTTTCATATCGAGAGTCTCAAACTTTTTCGAACTCTTTGGTGACACAGGTCGAATTGTGTGCAAAGTTTTCTCCCTTTTTACTTTGACGCTCAAATACTCAAAGGTCGAACGTTTTTTTGTAGACGAAATTAAAAAAATTATTAATTTATTATTGATTTCAGTTGTTGGATAAACCAGTCCCGACAGGCAGCAGCACGTCCTGGGAACCGTACTAGATTTTCAGTTTCCTGAAATTCTTCCATATGTAATTCCCACACGTCCACTCTAAACCGGACTAATATAGTACTTATTTGCAGCTGTCTAAACAGGGCGGACCTAATACGAGTATTCGATGGAAAAACTTCAGCCGATCCAGCTATTAGAGTCCTGTGTAATGAAGGTATCGAATTAGAAGTCCTATCAACAGGATCAGATCTCTTCATAGAGTTCGTAGCCAATTCCGATTGGCCAGGACAAGGGTTTAAAGCCAGCTTCCATTTCCAGCCAATAGAAGATGGCTCGCTAGGTAAATACGAAAACTCTATTAAAATTAATCTATGTACTTATCTCTGCTCCTATGGAAACAATTAAGTGCTTTGTGCTCTAAGCTCTAAAAATCGTTACAAGCTTTGTCACCGGCCGCCATCTGTCGGCCGGAGGCTCCACCACGCGTCTTAGTTTTCCATATTTAATTTTTCATTTCACTTTCATGAAGTTTTGCATTTTAATCGGGGGGAAAATACAACTCACTAATCCAATTCGCTCCAATTATGTAAATTTTTTACGAAAATTACAAATGAAAAATGTAGAGCTTCATTATTATTCGTGAATGACAGAATAATGAAAAAGTTATTACGAAAGTCGTTAAAAGTGCTCGCGGTGGTTTATTGTCTTGTAAAGTACTTAATGGTTTATTAACATTCTGACAGGGTAGGTGTAGTAACACTTTCTGTTTCCCTCGAATTTCCGCCGTCAATATCGATCGGGACGAAAGTCGGAAAAACTGTAACGTGCTCGAGTTAGCGCGGCTTCGAACCCCGACTGTATTCATAGTAGGAATCTGTACGCTCTGATTTCGTTCGCTTTTTTCAGGTGGCCGCTCTTATTGAAACAAATTTTTTATGCGAGCATGTTTTTATTGCAGATTCGCATCGACCCAATCGTCTGGGAATTTTCACAAAACCGACTGAAAGCGAACCAAGCGCCAGCGAAACTAGTGAGTTTTTTCTCGTTGCGTAATTTTTCACAGATATTGGAAACCGAAAATCACGAGTTTGTGTTTTTTCAAATAAGAGCACGTAAAAGATTATGCTTGTTTTTTTAAGCAAATCGGGCATTCCGGCAATTATTTTTTAATCGGAAATCGACCGGATTAATCTAAACCTGTCTTGAAAAATTCTACAATTTCGTTCGAGCAAAGCACTTTAACAATAGGGGAGAAATAATCGGGATTTTGCTGGTATTGACTGAGTTTATTGAAATGTGTAGCAACGCAACAACCAATTAGAGAATTAATTGAAGAGTAGAAGTGTAGTTTTGTCTTTTTGATACGTCGGTTATATTCTCGGGGTAAATTTGATTATCACGCAAATGGATTTAAATTGGAGAAGTGCCATTTACTTTGCGGCGCTTTGAAATTTATTTGAAACAAAATTAACAATACTTGTTTGTTTTCTTTGTATCCTACCGGTTTCTCTTAAGTTTAGAGCTTTAATAAACAGGACAAAACAATTTTCTTCCGACCCTGTAGGCTTCAATAAAGTCCGTATATTTGTTTAATCCGCTTAACTATATGTTAAGATGTTTCAGGTCATTTTCGACGTTAGATAAACTCGGAAAATGTTTGTCAAATTTTATGCGTGTTACGAAAATCCTGCAGATCCTAAAACGCTAATTACACTTAGTCTAATAAACAATGCGATGACGTCACCTCGAGCTGCTACGTAGTAAATGGTATTTAGTTTTTATAAAAGAACATAGTCCTGAAGAATCCGTATTGATTTTTTACCCTAGACATCCAGAACTTTTATTGTTATACGGAGTACTCTGTTGAATGGAATCTCAGAAAAAAAAAGATCGTCGATAACTACAATTTTTTGTTTCTTTATTTGACCACCTACGAGAAAAATAAGGACAAATTCGTGATTCTGAGAAAATTTGGGTTCAGACAGATATTTTTGTGGGGTGATTTGAGCAACTTCTAAACTTTTGTAAAAATGGTGGAGGCGCCAGTTCAAAATTCAGTTCTCTCTTATTTGACCTACTACGCGAAAAATAAAGACAGATTCATTATGCTGAGAAAATATTGATGTTTTTCCGACCTGATGGGAGTAATTTTCTAATCATCCTGACAAAATCTGGGTTTAAATTTAAGCAACTTTCAAATAATGTGCAAAAAATTTGACGACACCAAAATAAAAATTCATTTCTCTGTTACTTCACGTGCCACAGGAAAAAGGAACAGATTCCTGACCCTAAGAAAATTACAGTTTAGGAAGATATTTTTGTGGAGTGAATTTCAACTTTTGTGTAAAAACGGTGGAGGCGCTAGAATAAAAATTCATTTCTTGCTTATTTGATGTACTATAGGAAAAATGAACACAGAATCTTGATTCGAGGAAAATTTCGGATTAAACAGATGTTTTCCGCAAGAATCTGAGCAACTTCTAAATTTTGTGGAGAAATGGTGGAGGTGCTAAAATAAAAATTCATATCTATCTCATTTGAAGTACTGCACAGAAAGTAAAGACAGATTCATGATCCTGAGAAAATATAGATATTTTTATATAATCTGGGTTTAGACAAATGTTTTCCGCAGGAATTTGAGCAATTTTCAAATTTTCTGAAAAAATGTTGGAGGGCTCAGAATAAAAATCAATTTCTCTGTTCCTTGACCTGCCACAGGAAAAGAATCAAATTCGTGATCATGAGAAAATTTCAGTTCAGATAAATATTTTTCTGGGGTAATTTGAGCAACTTCAAAATTTTTTGTAAAAATGGTACAGACGCCAGAATAAAAATTCATTTCTCACTTACTTGATCTGCTACAGAAAAAATAAAAACAGATTCATGATCCTAAGAGAATTTCGTTTCCACGCAGAAGTTTTTCCGAGATGACGGGAGCAATTTTCACATCATCCTGACAAAATTTTGGTTGAGATAGATACTTTCCGCAGAAATTTGAGCAACTTTCAAATTTTGTGTAAAAATCATAGAGCCGTAGGGATAAAAATTCATTTCTCTGTTACTTGACATGCCACAGGAAAAAAATTAAATTTATGGACCTCAAAAAAGTATTTTTTCTGGCGTCCTATGAGCAACTTCCAAATTTTTAGTAAAAATGGTGGAGGCGCCACAATAAAAATTCATTTTTCCATTACTTCACATGCCACATTAAAAATAAATTCAGACTTATGATCCTGAGAAAATCTCAGTTCACACGAATATTTTTCTGGTGTGCTCTGAACAACTTTCAAGTTTTGTGTAAGAATGGTGGAGGCACCAGAATAAAAACTCATTTCTCCTATATTTGCAGACTTACAGGAAAAATAGGTACAGATTCGTCATGCTGAGAAAATTTGTGTTTAGACAGATGTTTTCCACAGAAACTTGAGCAACTTTCAAACTTTGTGTAAAAATTATAGAGGCGCCTGAACAAAAATTCCTTTTTCCATTCCCTTAGATAACGCAGGAAAATAAAGATAGATTCGTGATCCTGAGAAAATCTCAGTTCCGATAGATACATTTCTGGAGTGATCTGAGCAACTTTCAAATGTTGCGTAAAAATGGTGGACTCGCCAGAACAAAAATTTTATTTGTCCATTATTTGAGTACTTGCAGGAAAAATAGGTATAGATTCGTCATCCTACGAAAATTTGTGTTTAGACAGATGTTTTTCGCAGGAATTTGAGCAACTTTCAAATTTTGTGTACAAATTGTGGCGGTGCCAAAATAAAAATTCATGTTTCCATTACTTTAGATGACAAAAGAAAAATGAAGAAAAATTCGTAATCCTGAGAAAATTTCAGTCCTAACAGATACTTTCCTAGGGTGATTAGAGCAACTTTCAAATTTAATGTAAACATGGTGGAGGCGCCAGAACAAAAATTTATTTTTCCGTTATTTCAGGACTTACGGGTAAAAAAACGGATAGATTCGTCATACTGAGAACATTTGGATTTAGACAGACGTTTTCAGCAGGAATTTGAGCAAGTCTCAAATCCTTTGTAAAAATTATTGCGACACCAGAAAAAAAAATTATTTCTCCATTACTTTAGATGATACAGGAAAAATAAAGACTGATTCATGATCCTGAAAAAATTTCAGTTCAAACAGATAGTTTTCTGGGGTGATTTGAGCAACATTCAAATTTTGTGTAAAAATGTTGGAGAATAAAAATTCATTTTTCCAATATTTAAGGACTCACAGGAAAAATAGATACAGATTCGCTAATCTGAGAAAATTTAGGTTCACAGATCTTTACTGGATTCATTTGAGCAAACTTTAAATTTTATAAAAAAATAGTCGAGGCGCCAGGATAAAAATTCGTTTCTCGCTTACTAGACGTGTTACGAGAAAAATAGAGGCAAATTTTTTATCCTCGAAAATTTTGGAATTCGACACATGCTTCCCCTAAGAATCTTTAAAACTTTGTGTAAAAATTGTGGAGACGTCAAAATAAAAATTCGTTTCTCCATTACTTCACAACCACATAAAAAATAAATAAATCAAGGCTTATGATCCTGACAAAATTTCAGTTTAGAAATATATTTCTCTATATTTTGAGCAACTTTCATATTTTATGTAAAAATGGTGGAGGCGCCAAAATAAAAAATCATTTCTCACTTATTTGATGTGCTACAGGAAAAATGAAGACAGATTCTTGATCGTGGGAAAATTTCGGATTAGGCAGATGTTTTCCGCAAGAATTTAAGCAACTTCTAAATTTTGTGGAGAAATGGTAGAGGCGCTAGAATAAAAATTCATTTCTATCTCATCTGAAGTACTGCACGAAAAATAAAGACAGATTCATGATTCTGAGAAAATTTTGTTTACAGGCAGATGTCTTTTCGAGATGGCAGAAGCAATTTTCAAATCATCCTGAGAAAATTTGGGTTTAGACAAATGTTTCCGCAGGAATTTGAACAAATTTCAAATTTTGTGAACAAATATGGGATGATCCAGATTAAAAATTAATTTCTCTGTTACTTGACATGCCACAGGAAAAAAATCAAATTCGTGATCATGAGAAAATTTCAGTTCAGATAAATATTTTTCGGGGATAATTTGAGCAAATTCAAAATTTTTTTGTAAAAATGGTGGAGACGCTGAATAAAAAATCATTTCTCACTTACTTGATGTGCTACACGAAAAATAAAAACAGATTCATGATCCTAAGAAAATTTCGTTTCATGCAGAAAAATTTTGGTTGAGATAGATACTTTCCGCAGAAATTTGAGCAACTTTCAAATTTTGTGTAAAAATCATAGAGCCGTAGGAATAAAAATTCATTTCTCTGTTACTTCACATGCCACAGGAAAAAAATTAAATTTATGGACCTGAGAAAAGTATTTTTCCTGGCGTGCTATGAGCAACTTCCAAATTTTGAGTAAAAATGTTGGAGGCGCCACAATAAAAATTCATTTTTCCATTACTTCACATGCCACATAAAAAATAAATCCAGACTTATGATCCTGAGAAAATCTCAGTTCACACAAATATTTTTCTGGTGTGCTCTGAACAACTTTCAAGTTTTGTGTAAGAATGGTGGAGGCACCAGAATAAAAACTCATTTCTCCGACATTTGCAGACTTACAGGAAAAATAGGTACAGATTCGTCATGCTGAGAAAATTTGGCAACTTTCAAACTTTGTGCAAAAATTATGGAGTTAACAATTCATTTTTCCATTACTTTAGATGACACAGAAAAATAAAGACAGAATCGTAATTTTGAGAAAATTTCATTTCAGACAGATATCTCTTTGGGGTGATTTGAGCAACGTTCAAATTTTGTGTAAAAATGGTGGAGGCGCCAGAACAAAAATGTATTTCTCAGTTATTTAAACACCTACAGGAAAAATAGGTGGGGATTCGTCATTCTGAAAAAATTTCTGTTCGGACAGATACTTCTCTGGAGTGACTCGAGCAACTTTCAAATGTTGAGTCAAAATGGTGAAGTCGCCAGAACAAAAATTTATTTGTCGATTATTTGAGTAC